TTGCTGGGCAGACATGCGTGCTGTTCATGCTTATACCAAGTAGCTGGAATTCTTGAAATCTACTGGAGTTCTTGGAATTCTTGAAGTTACAGAACTGAACTTATCAAGTTCAAACACGTGCAATCTTTGTAAGTGCATTTTTCCTTTTTGTTGTATTTATAAGAGCGGGCCAGTTTGCGGCGTCACGACGAATTGCGGCTTTGGCTTACTGCGACAGCATGGGATAGATCTCAGACGTTCTTAACCAATGGTTTTTCAGACATAAGGGCTGACGTAATGTGCTTAACGAGATTGCTGCGCCCAAACGAGTCAACTTGAGTGGTAAGCTGCTTCACCAGAAGCATGACTCAAAGTGTCAGAGATGCTTGTGTCTGTCCACTCGCTGCAAGCTGGCTGGCACAACCCGGCCATTGCGGCAGTGGAGTCCCGAAACTCGTGCGCGGTACGCTGAAACTCTTTCCACTTCCATGACGTCATTCGGCGCGCCGCCCGTGCCATTTCCGCCCCGCGCCATTATTGCCGAGAGCCGGCAACTGCGCGCCGGCCGCGCGGCCGCACAGGGGAGCGGCGCCGGCCGCGGCGCGCTCTCAGCGCATGCTCGCCGCGTGCCGGCCGCGCTCGCCTCCCCCGTGCTCCATGGCCGTCGCCGCCGCTCTTTGTGTGCCGCCTGTCCTTGTGTGCTCCCCGTCTTTGCCGCTGCACTCGGCCAGCGGTTTTCCGGAAGGCGTCTGTGGCGCGCTGCGCCTGTGTTGGCGGCGGCGCCGGCGGGTCGCCATGGGTGGCGGCGTGTCGGGCGCTGGCCGGCGCGCCGCGTGGGCCATGGCGGCGCTGCCGGCGCCGCGCGCGCCGGCGGCCCGGCGGCGACACGTGGGAGGCGCGACGCCCGCGCCCCGTCGGGCGACGGCGCCCCGACCGGCCGGGCGGCCGGCCGGCCGGCCCCGGCAGCAGCGCTGTCGGCCCGGCAGCAGCGCCGTCGGCCCGACGCGTTGTGGGCGCCGGTGCATGCTCGGGTGCTCTGGGTTGACTGAGGACAGAGAGCTCGTCACCTTCCAGCAATTATTGAGGGACTTTAAGAGTAATCTGTGCTTATTGAGGCCAATGGTTCCATGCGCTGCCGTAGACCTGTAGTTTGTGGGGGAAGTCCCGTTCCCAAATCTATGCACAGTGTCACCGCTGTCAGCCTGCACGCCGATCAGCGGTCCAGGTCTGATTGTAATTCGTGCATCCGTAATCAAGCGGAGTGTGCATGGTGAGCGTTTCGAAACTGCGCATCGGGTTTACGTGGGCTCTCAGTACGGTGCGATAAGCAGAGTTACATGCAACTCTGAACTGAAGAGGTACTTGAAGGTTCCAGCCTGGAGCGATTGCTTCCTACGTAAGTGTTTACGGCACTCACGTGCAAGGATGTGGGGAGGTACCAAACGGTGAGAACTGAGACGTTTTTTAATGTCGGTTCTTTCTGTCTATCACCACAGAGTTAATGTTTGAATTTTACGGAAATACAATGGACCATGCTGCTCTGGCCTTCCTGGCTCCTAAGCACGTGCAAGCCTAAGAGAGCCTTTGAATTATTATTATGGTGTCTTCGGATCGTAACAATTGGCTGACCGCATCGCGGTCAACAGTCGCTTCGTTTCGCCAGCTCTTGCGTGCATGGCCGCCAGCTGCTTTCTGGTAAGCGCGGCTGGGCCGGCTGAACCGCTAGCGCCGCCATAGCAGCCTTGTCGACGCCGCCCTCCGGCCGGCTCCCTCCGGCCCGCTCACCGTCCGGCCCCACGGCCGCCGCCGCCGCCATCTGCGCCGCTGCGGCGACCGTCGACTAGCGAGCGGACCGCAACCTTCGGCCGAGCAACCCCGCGCGTTGGCTCCCGTCCGGCCGGCCGGCAGTAAACGAGTCTACGCCGCCGCCCGCAGTGTCGATTGTGTTTTCATGGCGGCGCACGCGGGTCGGTGCCATGCGCCCCGCCGTCGCTTGTGCGTGAAACTATGGGAGATTTTTGCATGGATGACATGGTGAGTGTTGTTGCCCAACTCAGGGAGCTCAGCGACCCTGATTGTGTACTTTCCGCCTGGCACGGACCACGCGGTCGCTGCTGCCATCGCCCGGGCGCCGCCTGGCCTCCGAGAGTTCAATGTTTTTGGTCTCATTTCAAGGTCGGCGTTGGCTGGAAAGATCAGGGTGAAAGTTGGGGTCGCTGGGTCCAGGTTCCGTGGTGGACGGGAAGTTAAAGCAAGTCGACGCGTCGGGGATTGATCGGTGTACCGGATGTCTGGCTTCCTAGTGTTGCGGCAAGTGCCTTGACCTTGACAGCACGCTCGGATCTGCGGTTTTCAATGTTAATCTGGCCGCTGATGGCAGCCCCGTGCAGGCGCCTTGGCCGAAAAAGGAAGTAGCCGTTCGGAACTTGTGGATGACGAGGAATGGTAACGGAATGTGGACGATAGATGGCGGGGTATTTCGTTAGATTCGGACGCTATATTGTTCTTTTGGTCGAAGGTTTGGTTGGTCCGTATTGTTCTTTTGGTTTGGTTTTGGTGGTGAGCAGGCTAATTTCGTGTTTCCCCGTTGGCCTGAAGTCTGTTTTTTGTGTGATTATTACAAGACAAGACCAGTCATTCCTCATAATGCGGTTCCGAGCCCAGATACACGTTTGCCAGGCTGTTGGGCAACAGCAAGTATGATTTATCTGGTCTTGTAATGGTTCCAATGGTCCGTGGGTTCCCGTCCCGCTGTAACATGCTGTTGATGTTTAAGTAGCTTATGTGGTGTTACAATTTTCATGTCTGTGAATGTTAAGGAGCGTAAGATACCCGGGAATACGTTTCCAACCAATGACATTCACGCATCCAGTTGCCATAACTTGCAAATTGCATCAGAATGGAGTCCTTTTTTAAGAGCCATCAGAAGTCCTCGCATCAAAAGCAGCGTCAGCCCGAAGAAAAATGAGCATCATAGTTTTGTTCTGCTGCAAATATTTTCTTGGTTCGGTGCGTCGTAACGCAGTAAGATGCTTGTTTTGCCGTAGTGCTGGCTCGCGGAAGTAGTACCAGCGCACAGTTTGAGAAAAGTATGCTAACGCGGTCCTTTACAACACTCGGTCATCCGCGCAAGCCCTGCGATCCTGTCAGTTCATTCCTGAGAAAAAAGAGTGGACAATTATTGCGCCATTGTGTTTCATAAGCATACCTTTTCGTATATGAACATTTGTAGCTACTGGTGTTGGGTTGGTCATAATCCCCAAAGTCCATCCCCAACTTGGTTTTGTTACACTTCCCCGCATCAGCGATAGGGAAGTGTGGTGACACTATGTCGACCATTCATCACCAATATGGAATTTAATTGCAGAGTGTCCAGAAAATCAAGAGGCATTTTTAGCCATTGGACGGTTGAAGTTCGCCCTTCCTTCCTGGCTCCCTGGTCCTCGTTTCTCATTTCGGGGTGAGACCAGCCTGTCATGCACTTACACGGGCGGTCATTCACAGTCACGAACATACACAACCATAGAGCTCCGAAACCCCCGCCCAGAAATTGCCTTTTAAATAGACGGACAACCGAAATGGTTCGCTGGCTCACGTTAGAGAAGGTCGTGTACAAGACTGGTCCGTGAAACTCTTCGGGAATATGTGGGCTCTGGGCCGTGGTTCGGAACCAAGCCATTCGCACTTGATGAATGCGGAATGCGAGGTCATCATAAATATGACCCGTTTCAGACTTCAAGGTTTCCCCGTGAGCCCCCTGGACACCGACGCGTGCCGCCGTTTCAGAGGGGAGGGGGGGGGGGGGTGGCGGCAGTGACCGCGGCCGGCCGCGGCGCCGATCGATGCTGGCCTCTCGGCACTACGGTGCCGGCCGTAGCGCTGACCTTTGGCGACGGCCGCCGTCCGCGCCGCTGGGCACGCCCTGCCTCTCCCGGTGGGCCGGGCGTCCGGCGCTGGGTCGCGCCAGGAGCGGGCGGTCCCGGCCTGAGCCCCGCTCCTCCCACCGCTTGCCAGTGGGGGGACGGCGGTGTGCGGGATGGCGCTGTTGGTATCGCGCGACTCTCGCAGGTGGCTGTCTCCCATGGGCCAGCTGGGTTAGATAAACTCCCCGGTGCGGTGGCAGCCCGGTCGGGCGTGGCGTTGCTCTGGCAGCCTGGCGATGCTGTCTGGGCCGGGCGAGTCGTTCGCTGCCTGATGCTGCCGCGGGAGAGCTGGATGCGAACAGCGGGAAGCCAGTCTCGAATGGGCTGTTTTTTTGTGCAAGTTTTTGGTCGAGCGGGATATGTGAGGCGGTTGCAGAAAAGCACACGAGGCTGGTCGCTGGCGGTCGTAACACGGCGTGGGGAATGGAGGCATTAGCCTGTATGTAAATGTTTTGAGCCCTCTCTTTGTAATATTTGAAATATGTTATTTGTTATAAATTTGTAATCTTTGTAATATTTGTAAAAAAAAAGATGTTTCGACCCGTCTCTGTGTGATATTTGAAATATGTAATAGAATATAAAAATGAAATTAAAACGTAACATGTGATGTGCCAGTGCTGTATGCTCGTTTTCGAAAATGTTGATAGGCGTGTTTTTTTCCGCGCTAATCGCAGTTCGGAACGCGTGCTGCTGAACGACCGATGTGCGCGAGAATATTTCGATTAAAGAAAATATGATCCATGTGACTATGCTGGTATGTCCCGGCCAACGATCTACTACGACCGGAACGTTGGCACATTTTTGCGTGATAAGCGTGTACTTGACTGAGCTATGCCTGGCCTCATCGATTTAATGAAATCGTATTTGCAAGTAGAGCAGCTGGAGCACACTTCACATGTGCACTTCGGGCCCAGCTGAGTTCGTGGGCTTATTTTGAGCAGGCGGTGGCGGGCGGGGCCGTCGCCTCCTGTGAAGTGCTGCCCGTCAGCCCAGGGAGACTGAGTGTTCTTGCCACGTGCTTCCGGGAACCGAAGCGTCCCACCCGAGTTGGCAAGCGTTGTGCCCGCCCGGCACTAACCAGTCCGCCTCCGCCGGCAGATAAAGAATATTAAGGGCCAGCAGGACGGTGCGACTGATGCTGTGCAACAGGGCGAAGTGAGCTCGTCTCGTCCTGCCATATCCGCCCACGACTTTGGTCCTCTGCTGCTGGAGGTATGTGCGAGAGACGGGATGCGGCGGGGCGTGGGGGAGGGGGGGGGGGGGGCAGCAGCGACGGCCTTCGCTATCAGCTGCGGACGAGTGACCCGCCGATAGCGGCCGGGCGCTGATACCGACTGCTGGGCCGTCGGCTAACGGACGCGCCGTGTGCGTCCGTTGATCGGTGGGTGTCCGCCCCGCCGGGGCCGCCGCGGCCCGCTTCCGGCCATGCCGGCCGCCGTCGCCGCCGCCGCCGCTCACCGCCCGGCTCCGCTTGCAGGCCCTGGCATCGTTCTTTTTCATCGTCAACTCCGACTACCGGATCGAGTACATTACGGAGAACGTCACCGAGTTTTTAAAGTATCGTCGCGAGGAGCTGCAAGGCGATTCGATCTTCAACTACATCCACCTCGGCGACCACCACAGCTTCTCCAGCATCCTGGTCCCGATGATACGCAGCACGTACGGTGAGTCGGGCGGCCCGGGGTCGCCGGGCGCGCG